CTCCAAGACCATGTGAGGACATAGCAAGAAGGTGGCCATCTGCAAGCCAGTAAGAGAGCCCTCACCAGAAAACAAATCAGCCAGCACTTTGATCTAGGACTTCCAGCCTCCAGAACTGTGTGATATAAATCTCTATTCTTTACATTGCCCAGCCTGTGCTATTTGTTACAGCTGCCTGAGCTAACTGAGACAGGAGTTGTTTGTTTCAGCAGCACAGTCTCGCCTATCCTGAATGATAAAACAACAGTGGTTAATGTTTCTTGAGCTAAGAAGGCAAGTGTGGGAGTGAGCCATGTGGCCTGCAAGGGAGGGGGCACAGCAGGTGCTAAGGCCCATCGGTGGGGGTAAGCTTGGCATTTTGAGAAACAGCAAGAAAAGGTGTTCACTCCTTTCTCTTCCTAGTACAAGCTGGAATTGGTTTTAGGGGAGATTTGGGGCTGGCTCCCCCTCCCCCTTCTCCTCTGGTGCTGAGTGAAGTCCCTCTGCTCTAAAATGCCTGTGAGAGAACGCAGCTCTCTTCCTGCTCTTTGGCAGGCAAGTCTCCCAATCCAGCTGAGACTCCTGGCCATGGTATAGATGGGGTCAGGGCCCAGCATGCTGCACCACAGAGGCCTCATGCCCCACAGCTCTCCTGAGCAATGGCTTTGATGTCCAGCCTGCACCCTTTCCAGCTGGGCACCATGTCCCTTCCTTCCTGCCCCTGTAGCACCTTGTGGCCATCTGGACACCTATCCCTGTAATTCTCGGCTATTGGGAGCTGGAGCAGGATGGGGTCATCCCCTTTGCACCACTTCACCCTAATTCTCCTGTCCTTTGCTCCAGTAGCCCAAGGTTAGGTACCTGGGACAAAACACCCACCTCCTGTTGAAGGCACCCCCAAACCCTCATGGCAAGCCTCCCATCACCTCATTCTGATAAGGGCATGGAGAGGGCCTGGTGGAGTCAGCACTTCTGACAGGAACTCGGAGTCTTGCCCAGTGTTGCTGAAGCCCCGTAAGGAGCCTAGCGGTTTCTGACAGCATCCACACGCATCGAGATCACACCCTGCAGGATCGGGGTGAACCTTCCACCCCTGCCTGGCCCCATAAAGTTGAGCCCACAGGCCCCTTGGAGGCATATAGTTGAGGGCCACTGCTTGCCACGCCCAGAAAAGTTGGAGAGGGCCTGAGTCTACCAGGGACCTCACAGCGTGAATGCTGCATTGTCTGGTTGAGGGCTGGGTCTGAGCTTACCCACCCAGGGTCCTCACACGTGACCTCCCCACCACCGACCAGAGCACCACACACTCCCTCTGGCCTCACAGTTCTACTCTGGAACCCACCTGATGGAAAAGTATCCCAAAACAGAAAGGATGTTGGCACCAATGTGGCAGCTGAAAATGTGAAACCACCCAAGTTCCCCCTGCTGGGGGCTTCCCAAGTGAATCAGAGGACAGATGGACTGCACTGTGTGGCCTGTATCAAGATGTATTTGTTAGTGATGGAAACCATGACAAACGTGGCTTCAGGGTAGCACAGGCTCCTGAGGACCACCAGCTCTTCTTTGTCAGGCTCCACTCCTCATGGCCCCAATGTGGCTGCAGGGCCTCCAGGAAGCAGGAAAGTTCAGAGGGCAAACATCAGTGAGGTTCCTCAATGGCCAGAGATCACACCCCAAATCTCAGAAGGCTGGAAGTCAGATTTCAACTGGCCCAGGAGAGAAGTGGAGTCCAGCTGCCTCCCCTCGTTCAATGGAATGCAGCGGTAGTGACCCAGGGTGACTTCTGAGGCCCTGACAGGTAAGATTTGCACTCGGGACTCTCACTGTGGAATGCCATGATGTGAGGAGGCCCAGGCCATTTGAGGCGGCCACCACCCCATGAGGTCTCGGCTGACACCTGGCAGCAACCCAGCCAGCCTTTGATATGACCCAGTGCGTACCACCAGCTGCCTACAACCACATGGGAGAAGCCCCAGTGAGCTCTGCCCAGTAGAGCCCAGCAAACCTGGAACCCCGAGCTGTAATAAGAAGGAACTATAGTTTTATGCTACTACACTTGAGGTTTTTGTTATGCAGGGACTGAAAATTGAGACAGTGATTTTTACGTTTGCTGTTTTTCAAAGTATTGTTTATTTCATACCCCTTACCACACTTTACAGATAATAAGATGCAGCACCCCAGCTGGGTCCCTGCTTATAGATACAAAGCAGCCAGCTGTAATTGTTGAGAAACCTGCTGCTACCTTCCCACTCTGCTATGCAAGACTAGACGTGCTTAATATGTCCCCGTCTCTTCAAAGGAGCCTGACTAGAGGGAGGCTGCAGCTGGTTCTGTGAACCTCAGCAGTGGTTTCAAGGAAGGCTATCTATAAAAACCACTACAGCCGGGCTCCCCTGGGACAGACACCCCCCAAATAGGGTCCCCAGCTCAGTGCCCCGAGGGATCCCTAAACCCAGAAGCTGATTTCACTGACCAGTCTTGAGCTGGACACATGTTGAGATGCAGTGGCCGGCTGGTGGGGTCAGCCTGGGCCTCCCATTGTGGTCTCTGGCCTCCACCTTAGTCACCCTGGGACATAGGCTGCAGGCTGTCTGAGCATTCCCACAGTTGGCCTGGAGGCAGGCAGCATCTGCCCTGGGTTCGCTGTATGCACCATCACCTGGGCACGTGGTGAGCTGGTGGGGCCACTGGGGGTCCAGGGGTCCTTGTCAATGCCTCGGGCCATGCTGGCCAGCTCTCTGGTCCCCTCGCCAAGGTCTCTGCAAGAAGAGGAGGTGTGAGCCTGGGGGCAGAGCGGGGGCCCCATTTAACCCCAACTCTGCCACCATGCTGGGTACCCAGGCCCTGATCTTCAGCAGGCCTGGGATAGACTGCTGCCCCTAGGTGAGGGCCCCCGTTTCCTCTTGCCTTGCACCCAAGGAGGCCCCTCCATTGGTGCCCCTCCCTGGGCCTCAGGCCCCTCACTCATACAAGGGGGATGACTCAAGGAGCATCACACCCACCTTCCAAGGGTGGGAAGGGGCTTCCTGGGGTTTTGTAGAGGAAGGGAGCTTATTCAGAGTGTGTGTAAACTATGTGCACCAGGATGCCCTAGGCAGAGAAGGGACACTGGGGCCCCAGGAACATTCTGGAGGACACCCTCGCACTTGCCAGGCTCTCCTCTGAGTCTGAGACCAGATCTCCTACCTTCCATATCTTCAATTCCCTAGTGGCCTCCCCTAGCCCCCAAGCCACAAACCTACCCATTCTCCAGGCTGAGCAAACCCGGGCCCCACCCTTGTCTACCTGGCCCTGCTCCCATCTCCTGCTTACACTGGACTTTGCTTCCTGAGGCTGAGGCTGGCTGCTTCCTCCCCTTAAGATGCTGTCTCTCTCCTTCCCCCCCAGTATAGGCTCTCCTAATCTGTTCACCTCAGGCATCATTTCTTCCAGGAAGCTTTCCCAGATCTATGTTGCCACCCACACCTAGTTCTCAGAAAAGCTCTAGGCAGTAGTAGGAATTAAATTATCTGTTGGTTCAATGAATATATGAATGAATCAATTAATTAGTGGAGAAGAAAGTCAGCTTAGTGAGCAAGTCCATGGACTTTGGAGCCACAGAGCCTGAGTTCAAACCTAGCTTCATGCTTAGTAGTTATGTGATTCTAGACAAGTTTCTTAAAATGGGATAAAAATAGTGCTCACTCCCATGGTTAGAACAGGTAATATTTGGAAAAGCTAAGAACAGTGCCTGGCATAATGTGAGTGCTGGGAAGTGTTTATGAAATAAAAGTAAGGTCAAGGGGCAAACCTCACCTTACTAAAGACGATTTCACCACCAATCAGTGGGAGAACTGGGGTATCTGGGCCTTGCCTAGGATGGCACATCCTGAGAGGCAGCAATTCCTTCTCCTATTCCACTGGGGTTTCCCAATTGAGACACAAGACAGTGTGTCACAGGTCTATAATGGGGAAAGGGTGCCACAGGGCAGGGGGCAATGGAGAAAATTCGAAACCTGCCAAGGAAACGTGACTATATGAAAAGGATGTGCACTAGCAAGACAACCCCAACATAACTGAAACAAAAAGGAGAGTGCTTGCAGCCAACTGACAGGTAAGGGTCTCTTCCATAATGTACACAGAGCTTCCACTATTTATGAGAAAAACCATCAGCAGGAGATTCAGCAGAGCAAAGTGAAAGGGACTAAAACCAGCAATGCAACTGCTAAGCAAAGGTATGGAGAAAACACTCTTTCTCAATGTTAAAGAAATGCTGATGAAAACCACCTATGTAACTCACCCCTGCTAAGTAAGTGATGGAAAACAAATCATTAACACTCAGTGACAGTATAGGTGTAAAAATGGCTCAACTAGTGCCAGGTTCCTGGAGAAAGAATTTGGTAATAAAAATATTCGGACTACTTGGCCTAAACAGTCTGTTCCTAGGATTGCCCCAAAATGTCATCTCAAAAAAGAAAAACAGCTCTAAGCACAAGCATTTACCCAAACTTGAGCACAGCAGGTGAAGTATCTGGAGCATAGCTCCAGGGGCCTCAGACCACCATGGCAACACAATGACATGTCAAGTCAGGTGGAAAGGGCGCAAGGCGGCATTTCTGCCATGGCAATCATGACGTGGGCCTAATGTGTGTCAAAAGCTCAAGGGAAGGAGGTAGGAAACCAATTCCTTCCCACAGGCCTCGCCACTCCAGGAGTCAGCTAGGCCCGGTGCATTGAGTGTGGACATGGGAACAGACAGACCCTCGCCACGCCTGCACAGGCCACCACCTCCAGCGCCTCAGTTTCCTCACGTGCACACCAGGATCAAGAGAAGAATTAACAACAATGGCTGGCACTCACTGAATCTGTACTCTGGGCCCAGTCAAGGTCACTGACTTATATCACCTCAACAGGGCCAGGAAGTGAGCCCTGCCATAATCTTCACTGTACAAGGGAGGAAAACGAGGCATGAGCAGTTGTTGCACAGCGAGGCATCAGGCCGGAGGCAAGCACTTGGTTCCCTGGGAGATTCCTGTGGGGACAGGCTGAGGAAATGAGCAGACTGCCTCTGCGACGCCAGGGCGGGGCAGAGAAAGCACTAAATGGGCCAGAACATCTGTGCAGAGAGGAGGCACTTCGAGAATAAAGGGCATGATCAGGACACAGCACAACAGGGCTCCAACCAAGAAAGGACTGGAGCCCATAGGAAGCATGGGTCCAGATGATGCAGGGGAACAGTGACCCCTGAGGTTAGCAGACGGGGACAAGAAACCCGTTACACTATTCTCTCTGCTTCTGTGTATTCGTGAAATTTCCCCATAATAAAGTTTGAGAAAAGATTACCTATGAGCTCAGAGTGATACAAAAACAACAAAAAATGAGAAGGAAAGGAAGGAAAAAACAGAACTCATTTTCATTCCTCATAGAGGGAATAACAGAATCACAACAGAATTAAAATCATTATTCTGTAAACCCCAGGGCCCAAACCCATTCTGGCTGGAGCATCCCTGGATGCTAAAGCCACAGGTCAGGCGTCATGGGAGCAGCAGAGTGACCCTTAGCAGAGTCCCTTCTTCATCACCTGACAATGGACTCATCTCAGCCAAGAGCGCCCAGTCCTCGTGCCTGCAGGGCGACAGCCTGACCCATACCTGTGATTCACACCAGCACTGCCCATGGGGCACCCACATGAGAAATGCTGCCTGAGTGCAGTCATAAGGGAATGTCAAGACAGTCCAGAACACAGTGTCTGTAGGAGACCACTGGCCTAGAGTCCACAAAAGGCAATGCTGCCAAAGACAAATATCCTGACCCATTTAAGGAGCCCAGAAACTGGGCAGCCCTGTGATCCTGGGGTCAGAGGGTGCTCACTCAAAGCTAGTAACAACCCTGGGAGATGTTCTATCTGCAGTCCGTGTTCAGCCAAGATTAGACTCCTTGAGTCAAAAAAAAGTATGTAAGATATGTCCTTGTATTGGTTCATAAAAAGTGTGTGTGTGTGTTTTTAAAGAGAGACAAGAAGAGATAGAAACTGAGAGACAGAGGAGCAGGGAGGGAGATGGGAGGAGAGAGCAAGTTGACAGGGCACCGTGGGTCCTGGTGAAGGGTAATACTCGTGTCCAGAAGCTTCCTTCTCTGGACAAGGGGTGACAAGATAAAGAAACAGGGTGGAGAGCAACTTTAGGCACTAGGGTGCAGGGTCAGACACGGGTACTAGAAGGACCATCAGCCCCTGTCTTAGGGATGGGAGTTGAGGCCCTGGTGAGTATGGGCTCGCAGCATGCTGGGGCCTCCCTGCCCTCACCACTGCCCCACCGCCCCGTTGCTCTGCCCATGCCCACGTGGTGAAGCTGTGGTTGTCGTGAGCCTGGATGGGCTGGATCCTGGACTCGCCACTGATGCTGCGTTTGTTGTTGAGGCCCTTGAGGCCGAGGCAGGCGGCCTGTACTGTCTCTAAGTCCTCGCCTCTCAGCTGGAACCACAGCTGGGCCGCCCTGGAGAGAGATGGGGGAAGGACATTCAGGTGCATGTGTGTCCAGGACACCGCCTGCAAGCCTCTGCAAGGCTGATAGTATTTTAGGGCCATACAGTTCCTGAGCAATTACTCAGCTCTGCTGCTGTAGGAAGAAAGCAGTCATGGATGATGAGTAAATGTCAGGAAAATTATACTTACAAAGACAGGCAGTGGAAAGTTCTTGAGATGAATCAAGCTGATGGTGGCACAACACTGTAACTAATGTGTAACTAATGATCCTGAATTGTGCACTTAAAGATGGTTAAAATGGTAACTTTTATATTGTAAATATTTTACCACAATTTTTAAAATAGCAAAAAGAATAAAAGGATAGGTTTCCGTGAAGAAAAGTAGAGGTGAGCCAGACTCCACCTGCAGGCCCTAGTTAACCGCCGCGTAGTCAGCCCTTCACGTCCACACAGAGCAGAGCATATACTGCGTGTGTGCACAGTCTGCAGAATGAGACAATCCCCTGTGTACCTGTCACCTGTCTGTCTTATGGAAGACCAAGCGAGTGAGCCATGTGCCCTCCATGGCCTCAATGCTCTGTGAACAGCAAGATGCCAAGATCCCAGCAGCCCCACTCCCTGACACGCCCAGGAGTCTCAGAGTGACTTGAAGGTGCCCTGCAGCAGTGCCAGGTCACTGTACCTGTTGGATCGCCGCTGCTCACTCCTCTTCACACACTTCATGAGGCAGCAGGTGAGGAAGGCCATGGACATGATCATGATGATGGCACAGCTGACGATGGAGGAGATCACGGCCACCTTGAAGCCGAAGGTTTCATAGAGAGGCACAGCTGCGAGTGAGACAAGTCCAGCTCTTGGGCCCAGCCTGCCCTCAGGGAGCCCTGTTCCATGGGGGAGGCAGGGAGGCACTGGCAGCTGAGGTGAAGGTCTGTGCAAATTGTTGTAGGGAGTGGGGCTATCAGGCAAGATTGCCCCCCAAGAAGGGGGTGTTTGAGCAGGGTTTTGGAGGGTGTGTAGGAGTTTTTGGTGGCACACTGGGGGAAGCTCTGACAGGGAGTTCAGTGATGATAGTCCCCTTGGCTCCCACCCACTGCAGACTGGGCCCCTGAGACCAGAGGACAGCAGACAACACACAGTCTATTTTCACAATGCCTCAAGTGGGTAAAACCCTATGGGGGCCTAGGTGCTTTCTCGGGTCACTTTCCAGGAAGGTGCAAAAGCAAGAAAAATGCCAGTGTTTGGGGTCAAAGGGCCTTTGGCACATTATCAGCTATGTGACCAAGAACTACTTCTATCAGGTTCTAAATGATGTTCTTGGGAATCAAGGCCCAGGATCCTAATTGGAACAACACTGCATACTCTCCCCTGTAGTGGACACTGATCACACTCCCCAGTCCCTAGTCCCCCAGCCCTAGCTGGACACTGGCCATCCAGACTGAAGACTACATCTCACAGCTTCCCTTGCAGCTACATATGGTCACATGACCATACTCTGGCCAGTGATGAACAGGGTGGAGGAGTGTGGGACAACTTCTAAGAGCCTTCCTTGCCCTGCAACTAATCCTGTAACAACTGCCTGGATCATGGAGTTGAGATCATGCCTAACAGAGCCATAACATGGGAAGGACTTGGGTCCCCACCATGGGGTGCCATACAAGCCTAGGACTGCCCATCCTGAGGGCCATGGGCAAGAGAAAGCTCTCATAGCCCCCATTATTTTGGTAACCCCCTTTATCTTGGGTTTTCTATCTCTTGGAGTCTAATCCTAACAGATACTCTCCTTCTCAGAGATTCAACCACCACATGAGTATTTTAAAGGCTCTGAGAAGTCCTGCAGTCTATTAACCCAGGCTTTTCCAAATTATATTGACTATAGAGCCCTTTTCAATGCACAATACACATTAACACAATATATGTATCCTCACTTTGGAAAATGCTGTGCTGGGTATTATCCTTTAACACCCTGTATAACAAATACAACTAGAAAACCATCTCCTCCCCCAGACTGGGGTCCCATGGCCAAGCAATCCTATTCCCCAGTTCTAGAATTCTTGGCACACGAAACACCCTATTAATGTTTGCTGCATGCGTGTATGAAAGAACGTAGTTTTCTGCTTAACAGATGAAGTACTAGCTCAGACAGCACAAGTAACCTCTTGGAGATGACAGGCCAAGCCAGTGGTAGAGCTAGAATTTGGAGCAGCTGCTAGGATTTGAGTCTACACTGCTGACATCGAGCCCCAAGGGACCACCAGCACTGGGAACAGGACCCTACACAGAGGCCCATGGAACTTTCTCTGTGGACACCCACACCATCCATGTGACAAAATCAGCAACCCCCCACCAGGGGTCGCTGCTGAGCTGGGTGCAGCTCACAGGGAATGGGCCTCACTCTTGCACATGGGGGTCTCTGAAGACCACTCAGCAATGCTCCCCTTCCAGACACAGGTGAGGAGGCCAGACCCCACCATCTGGTGGCCCGAGGGGCAGTGGAACACGATGACAGTCCCCACAGAAGTACCGTTCCCACGAAGTACTTGGAAGGTGCCCTGCAGGGGTGGCTGCACTTGCACACACATGCCTAGGAGAGAAGAGAGGAGAGACAGAGTGAGGACCTCACCCTGGAGGGCAGGGGCTTGGCAGGAGCCCTCACCTGGGACAGGCATCATTGACCCAATGACCACACGATGCTCTGGAGAAGGTCACACAGCCACCCAGACAACTGGAAGTGGCGTCTGTGTGACTAGTGGCTTGGGAACAAAAGTGGAACTAATTCCTACATTAAGTGAAATCTAGATGCTCTGAAGACCATGGTGTTGATAAAAGAAACACACATCTAAAGACAACAAAAGCAAAAGGACAATTATTGCCCAAGTGCAGCTCAAAAGGCAGAATCAAGGGGGAAAAAAAGGAGAGAGATCAACAAATGTGATTTCATTAAAAGTAAAAAACAAAAACTTTTGTTACTTCCTAATAACTGAAAAACAAACAAACTCAGATGAAAAAATTAGGAAAAGGTATTTGGAAAACATAGGGCAAAGGTTCAACACCCTTAATTTATAAAGAGATCTTACACGTCAATAAAAGCTGAACATCCAAGTAAAGCAGAATGGACTGGTGTGTGAACAAGCAAATGACGAGATACAAGTAGCCAACAGACATGAGAAAATGCTTGCCCTCATAGTAACTGAAGAAACACTAATTCAAATGAGAGCTAATCTTTCACTCCTCCACTTGACAAAAAGGAGGAAAAAAAAAACCATGTGTGAAGTTAGCAAGGGCCTAGGAGCCACTCCCCTCAGACTTGCTGGTGGGGGCACAGATCCAAACCTTTCTGGACAGCGTCTGGTAAAGTGTATTAAGAGCTTTATGCTGTGTATACATCTGAGAATTTAGCCAAAGAAGTAGTTATGCATCTGCTGCCAGGATTTCTATACCAGGATGTTTGTCTACACACACATCTCCAGCTGTGGGGATCAGTACAGTTAATCAAAGTACATCTGACATGAATGCCAGCAATGCTATCCTAAAGTGTTACAATGATGTCCTTATATAAGGACACAGAGAGGCACTCTGGATAACGTGGCAATCACAAGCATTTTTATAAAATTGTAACAATGCCAACAGCTGGCACACAGAATTTACTGTGCTGGACACTGTTCCAAACACTGTACATGCATTAACTCATCAATCCACAAAATACCTCCCCATTTGACAGGAAAGCAAACTGAGGTACAGGGTGGTTTAATCATTTTCTGAAGTCACACAGCTCCTATGTTGTAGGGTAGAGATGTGGAACCACACAAGGAGGCTCTGGGCCTACCGTCTCAACACACATGTGTGACAGATACATCGCGTGTCCCTTGTGTCTGGCTTCCCTTGCTTAGCACAATGATGGGAGAGGTGCCATGCTGCGTGTGTTGGCAGCTGTCCATATTTATGGTGGAGCTGAGTCCCGTTGTATGGATGCCCTTGTTTGCTTCCCTGTTCCTGCTGATGGGTGTGTGAGTTGTTTCCGGTGTTCAAGAATATGGAATGAAGCTGCTACCGATGTTCTGGAGCACACCTCCTGGTGCCTGAGTGCAAGAGGCTCTTCCTCCTGCTCTTCTGGAACTTTCTGATTTTGAGCACTGTATACTACTAGTGTATAAAGCAGTTAGTGTCAGACAAAAGGGAGACTGACCAGAGGTAGCGTCTGTGTCCAACTCCCTCCACACATCCGAGGCCTAGGTGGGAGCAGTGGTGGGGATTCAGACAGAGGCTGGCACTGCCCAGGCTAAGGACCCCATTATTCCACACCAACCCAAGACAACCCTTCCCCTGTCCTCCATGGGATACCTCCAGCTAGGACTGTCCCCTGGGCACCAGGCACAGATGTCCAAAAGCCCACTCGGCCTGCCACATCCAGCCAAGCTCGTGCACTGGCCAACCTGCTCGTCACTTGGCCTGCCCCATTCTAACTCTGATGTTAGCCACTATGCCCTCCATCCTTTACTTGCTCCAGCCCCCAAACTTGGAACCTACCTGGACTCTTTTTCTCAATCCACAACCAATTCACCAGCAAACTTTGTGGGCTCTGTTTTCAAAATATATACCCAGAATATCTGTAGTGGGCTGGAGAGTCCTCCAAAATCCACATCCACCTGGAAGCACCCATGAGGGGGATCCACTGTGGAATGCATGGTACCCCATTTCACATAGGCTGTGGGGACAGAGGACACCCGGAACTGCCCAAGGGCAGCAGCTGTCACTCAGGAGGGCCAAACACATGTACTCACACACCCCATGATAGTGCTTCACACGTCTGTGCACAACCAGCCCTGTCCAGAGGGGAAACTGAGGCTCAATGAGGTCAAGCCACGCCTTGCATGGCCCCATTGGCCCTACCCCACTTAGGGTAAGGGTGTTAACAGGGCAGTGGCAGAGCCAGGCTTCAGCCTCAGTCTTGCATTCTGCCCTTGGAGGCTAAGGCTCCTTGACCCTCACTGTGGGCAGTGACACTGAGGGACAGCGTTTGGCTGGGATTGGCCAAGCTCCCCCTAGCTCTGCCCTACCAAGAACCTGGGGGGTGCCTCACCAGGCTGAAATGCTGGGGGGAGGAGTGTGAGCCTGAGTGGTCCTTGTGGTTTGTGTACCTATAGCAGGGAGGGGGGCTGACATTCGAACAGCACAAACAACGCTGGGCACCTAATGGATACTTCACTGTATTTCAGCCATATGAGGAAGATCATCCATCTCCATCTTACAGATGGGGAAACTGATGCAGAGCAAGGCTGGATGACACGCTGAGGGTGGTAGGGGTGGAAGTGCGCTGGGCCACAGCTGCCATGTAAACTGCACATCTGGGAGGATTCAGGCTTCCCTGTCTGCAGATGTCCGTCATTAGTGTCACACTAACAACGGCAACGCAGGTCCGATAGAAACATCTGGTCAAGAAGGACCCCAATTCCTGACCTCACGCAGCACTCAATCATCTGCAGAGGACAGCAGGGAAGAAATTGTTATTATCGTCATTTTAACATGAGCAACCAAGCCCGGAGTGGTGGCTGACCTGCTCAACACCCACAGATAGAGAGGGCACCCACAGACAGGACTGACGCAGAGCTTAAGATTCCTAATTAACAGCAGAACAAGGGAGTGTGGGTATTTGCAACATACATGTAACACAGCATCTTTCCTACATAAACAGCACTTACGTAAGACATGACAAAAATCACAACACAAAAAATGGTTAAGTTAGAAAAGAAAAATATGGAAATAGCTCCAAACCAGGGGGCAGAGCAATTAATTAAGAAAATTAAACAGCATCCACATCAGAAAGGAAGCAGCAAAACTTCTCTATTAAATGACATGATCCTGTATTGAGAAAATCCCTAGGAATCTGCTAAAAATCTACAGGAACTAATAAATGAGTGCAGCGAGTTTGCAGGATACAAGATCAACACACAAAAATCCATTGTATTTCAGTACAGTGGCAATGAGCAAACTAAAAATGCAATTAATAAGACAATTCCATTTACAAGAGCATCGAAAAGAATAAATTACTTAGGAATAAATTTAACAAAAGAAGTGCAAAACTTAAACTCTGAAAACTACAAAGCATTGCTGAGAGAAATTAAAGAAGACCTAAATAAATGGAAATACATCACATACTCATGGGTCAGAAGACTCATGGTTTAAGATGGCAACGCTCCTCTGCTCATCTACAGATTCAACATGACCCCTAACAGATCCTAGCTTCTACCTTTGAAGAAATTTACAAGCTGATCCTACAGTTCATAAGGAAATGCAAACAGACCTAGAATAGCCCAAACAGCAATCTTGAAAAAGAAGAACAAAGTTGGAGGACTTGTACTTCCTTATTTCAAATTCTACCACAAAGCTACAGTGATGACAACAGAGCAGCACTGGCATAGAGACATATAGTCCAATGCAAGGCTTTAGACTCCAGAAATAAACTCATATTTACAATCAATTGATTTTCAACAAGGGTGCCAAGACAACTGAATGGGAAGAGAATAGTTTTTCAACAATTGGTGCCAGGAAAACAATACTTACATGCAAAAGAAGAAAGTTGGAGCTCTCCTTACATCATATACCAAAATTAACTTAAAATGAGTCAAAGACCTCAATATAACAGATAAAACTATAAAAAAAAAACTCTTAGAAGAAAACATAGAAGTAAATCTTCCTGACCTTGGATTAGGCAATGGTTTCTCAATGATACCAAAAGACAAACAACAAAAGAAATAGATAAACTGGACTCCATTAAAATGAAAAAATTTGTGCTTCAAAGGATACTATCAAGAAAGTGAAAAGACAACCTACAGAGTGGGAGAAAATATCTACAAATCATCTATCGGATAAGGGACTGTATTTAGAATGTATAAATTATTATACTGAATTATAAAAAGACAACCCAATTTATAAATGGGCAAAAGATATGAACAGACATTTCTCTAAAGATATACCAATGGCCACCAATAAGCACATGAAAAGATGCTCAACGTCATTAGCTTCAGGGAAATGAAAATTAAATGCACAGGGAGGTACTTTTTCACATCCGCCATGAAAAAGACACATAAAAAAAATAAAAAAACAGATGATAACTGGTGTACCAAGAATGTGGAGAAACTGGAGCCCTCACACACTGCAGCTGGGAATGTAAATGGGGCACAGCCGCTTTGCAGTTTCTCCAACAGTTTCTCAGAGTATTTCCAAATGATGCAGCAATGCCCCTCCTAGCAATATACCCAAGGGAAAGGAAAACACATCTACATGAAAACTTGTACACAAATGTTCACAGCAACAATACTCATAATAGCCAAAAAGTAGAACCCACCTAAATGTCCATCAACTGATAAATGGATAAATAAGATATGGTCTACCCACATAATGGAATATTTCTGGAAATAAAAAGAAGTGAAGATCTGACATGCTACATGGATGAACCTTCAAAACACTATGCTCAGTGAATGAAGCCAGCTACCAAAAAACCACATATTGTATGATTCCATTCATATGAAATGTCTACAATAGGCAAATCCATAGAGACAGAAAGCTGATCAGTGGTTGTCTGGG